GTGAACTCTTCCAGTGCAATTTTCTTGTGGTGAATTCTGAAATTCATGAGTTTACCAGAACCTTTCGAACGCACCATTAGGCCATCTGTCCATCCTGATGTTTGACCTCTGACCTCTTAACATCCACTCCCCTGTGAACAGTTGGCTGAGATAAAGACCTGCTCCTGCACAGCTTATCTGTGCTCAGATCCTGCTCTGTTTGTATTACCTCAATCCCGTTGTTCAAATGCTTCAGTGAGAATGCTGATCTGGGATCAGATGTGTCATTCAGCACAGTATAAAAGGTAGTCCCGCTAAAAAATTATATATATATATATATATATATATATATATATATATATCATAAAATCTGTAGTATGCGTCTGATGAATCTGTAAATAAAAAACTTGTAAAACTATTTTGAGTTTATATAGGAGATATTGTTTTCTGTCTTTTGGAAGGCTTAGCTGTAGTTGCGAACTGTGACTATTAGACCTTCAGTTTGGGTTAACCACTAGGAGAGCTTGCTAGACTGTCTATCCAGATCCTGATCGGATGACATTTCTTTGGGTGCTTGACCCTTTTGTTTCCAACCAAAACATATAAAAGTAAGAGAATTACTGCTGCGACACTTGTGGAGTTAAAAACAACAAGCATGATGATCAAATTAAATTAAAATGAATTAAAAATTACAGATATGTCATTTAATTTTTCAATGGCACAGAATTCATTAGGCCTTCTCTGAAGGCCTAGAAGGGCCTGAGGGTTGTAACACTTTGTTATAATCTTGTTGCACGGAGGCTGTGCTGTGTCCTGGCTAGCTCTTACTGTGAGATTGATTAAATTTATCATAGCAGTGCTGTGTTATAGCTGTTTACAGGGGATTATTAAAATAATAGAGCTGTGAATACTGTGACTTACATACAACTCAGTAAATGAAAACTATATATGAACACAAAATTACTTTCATAGTCTTCATCCCAAGAAATATCTGTCCAATTGCTGTCAGTATTTGCAGATGAGATTACTTTGATCCATTGGGAATACGAGAAGGTGACCAAAAGCACATACTACTTTAAGCTGCTTAACTACATCAAGTATCCATGTTACATTCTACCCTGTGCTACAGGTTGTATTCTGTCACTTACACATTTAAATCAGGTACATTTGGTGCAGAGCTACTTTTATTGTGGATTAGACCTCTAGATCTACTTACTCATAAAAGCCTGATAAATACAGACCTTTAATACAAGTGAACATCAAGTGAATCCATTCTTTTTTGGTCTCAGAGCAATCCTTCAAAGAGAAAAGCACTAAAACTGGCACAAGACCAGAGAAAGCCCACCGTAACCTCCATCTAGAGAAGAATAATTGAGATCATCTGGACTCCAGCCCTGGATTCCCTCCCCCTCATCTCACACACACACACACACACACCTATAAAAACACACTCACACTCCCCCCCCCCACCCCCCCACCCCCCCGAGTCCCCTGTCAGCTTCTCGAAAGTGGCCTCCTGCTCTGCTAATGGGAGGACTCCATTCATTGCTGTTGCACTGCCGTAGCCTGAGCTCCAGCTACAGATGGAGCTATTGTCCCTCCGAGCTCCAGGCCAGCCAAGGTGCCACACTGCCGCATTCAGCCACTCACACTCCCCTCTGATCCGACATGCACTCCGACAAATGAATATCCCCCGTGAAGGAGAGCACAATAGCCCAGCGGCTGGGCCTTTGATCCATTGTAGCACTGAGGCTATTCACTAAAGGAGCGTGCTGCATGAGGTAAGAGCATAACACCTCCATTTAAAGGATTAATCTCCCTTTTACCCATATCCCTTTAGCAGTGCTGGCTAGTGAATTCATGTCACGTGCTATGCTACATTTCTGTGTTTTGTGGGTTGTCATGTCATTCATTCAACAGTATTTTTCATCATAGGGGTCATCCTCTATTTCAAATAGTTCAATAGCCATGTTTAAAACATCAAATATTAAATGATATGCAGATCAGCTTTAATCTAACATTATTCGTTCTTATATTTAAGAACCATGAGAAGTCTGAACTCCACTAGAGGAAAGCAAAGAGGCTGCATGTTTCATTTTGGTGCGAGTTTCTTATGTGTTTAATACAAAGAAGCACCCGTAGAAAGACTACTGCAGCCAGCTAAAGGCTACCACACACTGGTCAAGGGTCTCTGGTGCTTGGTAGCAGATAATATAGAGCACAGCTATAAAACATAGGATGTGTCAGAGAAAAGTGCCAATAAACATCAAGCTCATCTTACACTCACTGATTTGATGGAAAAGTTTTTCACATTGGTATCAGCTACTAGACGGCACGAGGGTGCAGTGGGTAGTGCTGCTGCCTCTACAGCAAGAAGGGCCTGGCTGGGTGATCAGGGCCCTTTCTGTGAGGATTTTGCATGTTATCCTCATCTCTGCGCGGGTTTCCTCCCACAGTCCAAAGACATGCAGTCAGGCCAGTTGATGACAGATCAACAGAAATGCCTTCTGCCCAATGACTGCTGGGAAAGGCTCCAGCAGCCACCCCCCCAACTCAGAAGCATGAGCGGCTTAGATAATCTGTGTGGTATCAGCTAACTAACATTTCAAACTTGCTGTTTTCTAGCTGAAATGTCTGAGGCAACGAGGCCAGTAACGTTAGCTGAGGTGCAGCAGATGCTTAGCATTTGTCTGTTTGTCTTAAAGATTTTAGACTGACCCCATTCTCTGAATACGTTTCAAGTAACACTACGAATTTGTGCTCTGGGCCTGAAAGCATCACTGTCCCTGGTGGCATCTGGTGTGCAGTGGCCTGTAACATTTCATTTAGTAGTCTTACATATATCCTATTTATTTTTCAAATAATGCCTTACAAATTTGAATAAACGCCCTTCCTAACTCTACATTTCTGTTTTTTCCCACCATAAGTCTACTGACAGCATTGTTTCTCTGTCAGGGATTAAGTCTAGTCCTGGACTACATTTTCTATTCAATGGAGAACCTCCACTCAGAGTGCCGTGTAGTCCAAGACTACGTTTAGTATCTAAAAAACTCATCATGTTTCATGCACAAAAACAATCAACAGCAAATAATTTTCACACAGCTCCTCTGTGGAATTAAACAGGCTGTTTTAGTTACTGTGCCTTTAAGAGTTATAAATGTACTTGAAGTCTTTTCTAGTTGCCTCTGCTACAGACTCCCTGCAGTAACAACACTCCTTATCACAACGTGAATGGGCAGGGCTGAACTGTTGTAGGTTGAATGCGCGTTAATATGGAAATGTGTTCATGGCTGTGACATCACAACCATGATGAGTTCGAAACAGACTGCTGTTTGCAGCTTAGTTTCCATCTATGGACTGGAGTGAACCGTATGTTTTGAAATCTTTACAAAGGATAGCACTCAATGATTTTTCCATACATGGCCCCTTTAATAATAATGGCAGGTCTTTAAGTATAGTGGAGTCATTTGATGAAAAATTAATGACTGCTGTTATTAAGCTGAAACCTTGTCTATATGAGATCATTTCTAGACTTTGACAACTCCTCTTTCTACTGAGTCAAATCTCGCTGTATTCTGTTTCTTTCTCCCGACTTTTAAAGCCGGGGGGAGAAGAAAGCCTGCAGCTGAGGTGAAAATGACATTTTAAATGTCATATCCTTCACATACCAAAATGCCTTTTGTCAGCATTTATTAGGATTATAGCTCCTCTATTGTCAGAAAATGTCTTACAGCAGATCTACTGCTTGACTATGGCAGTCAGACTCATCAACCCTCTGTTAGGAAGAGCGGTGCACAGAACAGGAGACCAACAGCAATATCCATGTTTCATTATGAGCAGAGACAGCTGTATCTATATAAGCCCATAAGACCTACCATTCATCTCAAATCTACCTACAGATAATAGTGAACATCAACATACACTCTTAAAGGGGAAGCCCGTTGATTTTTTCCTGCATAATTAGTTTGGTTTGATGGAAACAGTCATTCAGAGTGATTTGATGTGAAATGCAACAATCAAGAGAAACTTATGAAGTCAGAAGTGTACACACTGGTGGTGGTGAGAACCAGACATCTGAAGTGCTGAAGGCCTCTAAAGCCTCCCTCACAGAAACCTGTTACATGAAACAGTTACAAATACGCTGCCTGTTGGCTGAGACACTGTTTTGTGATAGTTTAGAGACAGGATTTTTTTTTCCAAAATGCATTTTTTTAAAAACATTTACTGTGGAAAGATACATTCAGGGCATCGTAAGCAAACACACAATTAAAATAAAAGTATTTTTTTCAGATTTACCACTATTTTACCATTATCAACCGTACATATAAAATCATAAAACATATAAAAAGATGTGTATGTTCACTGGTCATTTTGTGAATAAAATGGCTATAATTGCACTATAGACTTCATGACCCTTGGTTCCTATCACCACCACTGTAGATAAATCTGAGTCACTAATTTTCTCTACATTGAACCATATCAAACCACACAAAGCATGTTAGTGATTGAACTATGCAGAAACGAGAATGGAATTCATCTTAAAAAAATAAATAAAAGTGCCAAAAAGGCCCATAGCCATGGAAGGGACACCTTTTGGCAAACCCTTTAAGGATGGTTCTTCAAAGAACCATTACTATAAATTAGATGTGTCCGTGTGAAGAACATTCTTAGGGTTTAAAGAAAAGACGCCCCACAAAATGTAACCTCCACATGAAAGGTTAGTCCTAAAACCGTATGTCCAAGGCAAGAACCGTTTCATGTGACTAAATGTTAAAACGTCTAAATCTATTTCATAATGAATGTATGGAATACTAAAGCTCATGTGGTGGAAAAGGTATAGAGAGACGACCCTCAATCAGTATCTGAGATGGATAATGTTGGCTCTTGTCCAGCCTGCAGTGTGCTTCCTTTTAATGTGTTCTAGCAGCTCCCCCTGGCTGTCAAACATTTATGTACAATCAGAGGGGTAGGACTGAACTACAGATAGCGAAAAGCTGGATTTATCTGGTTCGGTATATTACATTCACAATAATCTATAAATACATGCACAGCATTTTTGTTTGCTATGCAGTGACCAAAAGAAATGAAAAGCGTACAAATCAAATTTTTTGCACTCATACAAACCTCGGCCAGTCTTACAGACCATATCCGAATCAATAACCATCCACAGTTTAATAGAGTCATCACTCTTTATCACTCATTTCAACCTCACCAGGTGTAATATGAGCTACTGAGAGCAAACTATAAATAACGTTTTTGTCCAGCTGAATAATTTGGAAAAGAAAAAAAACAACAACAATATATACTGTTAAAGGCATTTGGAACAGACAGAAGATTATAATGTACATAATACTGTTAAGGTATGAAAATATACAAATAAGTGTTATACAAAAGAAACTGTACACCAGAGTGGACATATTCTGTAGTGGCTCTACTCTCTGACCTCCAAGATATAGTATTACTAAAAACATACAAATGGTGTTCCACTCACACAATTCATTGGAGTAGACTTTTCTGCATATCATCGCTGCCCAGAAGAAAAAAATAAATAAAAAACAAGTATCTTTAAAACTACAACTTTCCAGAAGAAGCCAAAAACTTTGTCAATGTAAGGAGATTTAATTCCAAGCAATTTTGGAGCATTTCTGTTGGTCTATTATCAAATTATTATAAAATGTAAAGGACAGTGGCTGTGCTCAAATTATGAAAAAAAAAACATTTTTTGAACAGCGACAATATACTATATTTAATATAAACATTCTTTTTTTATTTTACAGTAATGCATTCTGTACCACATTTAACCTTCCATCTATGTCCTTGTACTGTCTCCGTCTGTTAGCCCTTTGCATTTCATATTAGACACAGTGGCTTTATCCTCACCAGAAGCAAATCCTTGTGTTTCAGTCCACAATCAGCAGCTTCATCTTAATGAGTTCACCCATAGGCTTAATGTTAAGTGCAACAGTTGAAAGTTAATACAGAGACGCTTCTGCCATCAGTCCGGAGTGCTCCATTGAGGTCCTGGCCCCTTTACTTTGGTCTGTTCTGAAACATTTTATTCTCTGGAGAGGTAAGTGACCACAGTTGTCAAGGTGTTCCTGTACTGGGAGGTGATAGCCACTGTTTGTTAGCCCTTTGTATTTCCTATTAAAGGGGGATTCCACCCATTTTTCTACATTTCTGCATAATTCAAACATCAGGGTGTAAACATAGTTAATCAGAGTGATTTGATATGAAATGCTCCGTTCTAGAGAAACTTAACAAAGTCAGAAACGCTCCCCCACAGAAACCTGGTGGGAGTGGTATCACAGTGGTGTCAAAGTTTACATGTTAATAATGCATTAACGAAAAAAATTATTAACTGCATCAATTTCTATTAATGTTCCTAATGCATTTTCGTAGTTCAAAGTTTCTAACCATTTGTACTTCAGGGCACACTGTTACTGTGATTCATTGATAAAATTTGTTATTAACAGCTACTATCATGCCATAAATTTATTTATTAAGTATATTGAGTCATAGTATAATTTACAAGCCAAACACACCTCTGAGGCCCACAGTCTCAGTAATATCAGTACTGGTGGCACTGGAGGATGACTTTGGCAGACTATGCTAGACAGTGCTTGCAGGAGACGTATGGATAAATCAAACTAACCAAAGCAACAGCAAAGTGGAAAACAAGACATAACGTATGGGTATGAGAGAAAGAACCTACAATTGTGCATGGAACATGCAGCCACTGTTGCTCTCACTGAACGTCTGTGATGAAAACTGTAAACTGTGTTTACTTAATTTCATGATCATCCAACATTCACATGATTTTCACATTAAGGTTCAAGCTGAATCTTTGAAATACATTCTGATTGAGCTTATTTTGATTGAGCTTATTCACTCATATCAATAAAATAAAATGCACTGCTTTTTAAATGGAAAAATTCTTCTGTGGGAATTTGGGCAAATAAAACTAATGCAATGAATCACTATTAACTATACAAACTAAAGGGGTTAATCACGATTAATTATTTTAATAGTTCCACAGCCCTATTTTGTTATATTGTTAGCCCTATCTCAGCGGTTGAATTATGCAGAGATTTTGAAAAATCTGTAAAATTGTGCTTTAAACATTGTGGCTACATCCTCACGAGTAGAAAATCAAAGTGTTTTAGTCCTCATCCAGTAGCTTCACCTTAATGAATTCACCCACAGGCTTGATGTTACAAGTGCAACAACTGAGGCATCTCTTCCATACACGTCCATCAGGGGTTTAAAAATGCATCAATACACTGTGATGCATCAGTGAGAATGTAGCATTTAAAGTGCACCAATTTTGGAATTTTAGATTATATAGAAGCGGTCAGGATAATACCCAGAAAGCCATTTCTCGGCCAAAGCAAAATTCTCAGGCTATTTTCAAAGGTAAAAGAAACTTGGTGTGTTGTTTTCATTGTTAATATCCTGCTACTATAGAAGTAGTTACAGTCAGATTTGTGTATTTAATGTATTTGTGTTAAATGTATTTTTTAAAATATTTTTGTATCAAACTGTACCAAAACAATCAATTAAAATCAAATTATGGTCAAATTTGAGATTTCATGATGCAAAATAATCATAATTGAATCAGATTAAAATTTACGCCCCTATTATTTATCGGTCCAGAGTGCTTCATTGATGTGAAGATTCTCTTGCTGTTAAAAATCAGAACTTGCTTAGCGAAGGCAGCGCCCCTGCTTTGACCAGCACTGCGGACAACAGGTCCGCTGGCCCAGAGGGGTGTGTGACTGCAGGTGTGGAGGAGTCCCCGTGCTGAGAGTTAGCTGGGGTGGGGACTTTGCTCCTCATCAATGTGGACCTGACTACCCCGCTGCCCACTCCTCCGGCACTGGATTTGCTGTTCTCAGCTGTGGGCATGCCAGTCCCTGGCAGTGGCGGCCCGGCGGTGGTTGGCACTGCATCCAGTGGTGTCCGGCAGCAACAGCAGCACAGCAGGCGGAAGAAGGCGGCACGCATCTCTCGGCTAGACAGCGTGTAGATTAGTGGGTTGAGGGCTGAGTTGAGGACGGCCAGGGCGATGAACCAGTCCACCTGGTAGAGCACAGGGCAGCGCTCAGGCCCACAGCCCACGTCTAGCAACAGCAGCAGGAAGAGCGGTGCCCAGCAGGCTACAAACACGCCCAATACAATCACCACGGTGCGCAGCAGGGCCAGAGAGCGCTCAGATGGGCGTGAGCCCACCCGCCGCCCGCTGGATGTCACAAGCCGGTAGATGCGCACATAGAGCGCCACCACAGCAGCGAGCAGTCCGCTGAACACACTGATGCAGAAGGCCACATAGCTTTTGGCATAGAGTGGCAGCACAGTGGAGCAGGTGTGCAGCCGGCCCAAGCAGTTCCAGCCCAGGCTAGGGAGGGCGCTAAGCAGCAGCGAGACGGCCCAGCAAGCAGCCAGCAGTGCCAACAACCGTCCACGTCCCCCCGCTGCTGCTTCACACGGCCGCAAACGGACCATAGTCATATGCCGCTCCACGCCAATTGCCAGCAGACTGAAGGTGGAGGCGCTCAGCGCCAAAAACATGCTGCCTTCGCGAGCCAGCCACTGCGCTGGCGTCAGGAAGAAGGTGCGCCGGCCCGAAGTGAAGATGTTGACCATGTAGGCCACACCGGCCAACAAATCAGACAGCGCTAGGTTGCCAATGAGCAGGTACATGCGGCTGTGAAAGCGCTTGTTGCACCGTAGTGCCAGCAAAACAGTAGCGTTCTCCAGAACAATCAGCACACAGATGAACAGCAGCAAGGCCATCTTGCAAGTGCTGCCGCTCCGGGGGCGTCCCCACTTGCCCGAATGGTTGTAGTGGGTCACAATCACAGAGTTCATCCCCTCTTCCAGGTAGCTGTCCATTCTGATGGCACTTCCTGGTTCAAACAGCAGAGGGCGTCTGTGAGTGGAGCTTTGGGAGCCAGCGAGATGCATCAAACATCACGATTTTTGGTGGGGATCTGTTCACAAGCAAAACATACAATTTCTGAAAAAACACTCATGTTGTGCATTAGCAACAAATTAACCATTTTTCTAGAACGTAAATTAAATTTCTCCCCATCAGAAAGACAAATCCAGTCAGATCATTATTAAATTAGATCTGTGCCTAATTAGATTACATTTGTTCATCTTAAGACATTAATATGTTAACGCAGTTTCATAAGCCAGATATTTTGGATGGACATAATGTTTTGTGAGGTGCCTAATGAAGGATACAGTAAACAAACCTGAAAAAAAAAAAATTTGCTAAGGATACTAAAATAATGAAAACTTTTAGGCCATACGCCAACACAGATCAGTTTCTCAACAAGAGCAGTCTTGGCTAAAGATATAAGAATGTGTGTAAGAGTGAGGACAATAAGATACAGAGTGACTGACTAGAACAGACCTGCTCAAAATGTTGCCCGTGGGCCAAAGCTGGTCTATGAGGACGTTTGAATTGGCTCACCAGAAAGTTACCTTAATCCCCCAATGAGATCATTATTAAATTCTGATTTATTACATTTGTATTAAATTTTAATCATATAAAGTACAATTTGCAACTTATCTACCTTATTTATTTGCGTTTAATTTTCCCCAACAATCCCTTGGCTCACTTTAAACACGAAAAATGTCACTTTCAGATAGTCAGTATGGGCAAACCTTATTTAAAAGAACATTACACTATTTATAAAATCACATATAGTCTATCATTCGGCTATAACCTGTGTCATTATTTAGATTTACTATTTATGCAGTCTCTGACTTCAGTACATGAACCACAAGTTGGCTTTTTATCCGCCAGCTTCTTATTCAAAATTTCCATTCCACCTTAAATGGTGCTGCAGTGACATTGTGGCGTTTGCGCATCATTTAAGGTAACTGCTGCATCATTTAAGGTGGAACGAAAAATTCGAATAAGAAGGTAAATTTAGACTCGCCCTTAATACAGCAAAACATCAGCTAGGAAACGGAAATGTTTTACATAGCGAGCAGTTTTAAACAGTTAGCTAGAGGTTTCCTCACCTGTGAAGAACGATATATAAAGCAATTTAGGGGTTAAATGCATCTTGTTTTAGTAGCTAGCATAACGGCTCGCACGAGCTACAGAGTAAGTTAACGGTTTTAGCTAACCTCTCCAGCTAACGTTTTTCTGAGAGTTTTGGTCACTATAACTCACAAATGTAGGTTTTTGCTGTGTGGTAAAACCTTTTAAAGTCTTTCTGTGACTATTTTCGTGCTTTAGGAACTGTCCAGAAGTGCAGAGCGGTAAATTAGCATCGGATATTTTTAATCTTCTCATCGTGTAGGTGTGTAAACTGCTGTGTCCCGCTCCTCTCCCTCCAGATGAACCTAGAAACCTTTGACTTCAAATAACAGACGAAGCTAAAGTCAGCTTCTCATTCGCCAGCTTCTTGGTCGAATTTTCACGTTCCACCTTAAATGAGGCGCCAGAGTGTAACTGCTGCACCATTTAAGGTGGAACGGCAAAATTCGAACTAGAAGCGGGCGAATAGGAAGCCAACTTAAGCCTCATCAATAAAAGGAACCTAAATGAACACTTTCTGGTGGGACTGTGGTTAAGGAGACGGGTTTATTTCACAGAAATATGAAGACGTTTGAAACTTAAGACGTTGTTATACAGTAATGTTGGTAGCAGCATCGATAGGTTACATACCTCGCATTCAAAATCTCGCAAAATCTCTTATGGTTCAGCGGCTGACCGGAACGTTTGGAGGAAACGTGCAAAAGTGCAGGTAGTAGGCGCCATGCCGTCAGAACGATTAAACTCTGAAAGTCATCTGTTTGGGTAACTTATCTCCCGTGGCTGAGTTCAGTCAGACTCCGTAACATCACTCATCCTCCAAATCTGTGCTCCAGACATCAGCGTTAACTTTTGCTCCAGATCACCACAAAAGACTCATTTGTGAATGTGGAAAATCAATGTTGTAAACGCGCCACTTTGTCGTATTAACACTAAGCTGGTTTGTCCCCCTTTAGTACTTTTGAAGAAGCATCGCTCCGTCCTGACTCGCGCTGCACTACAGCAGCGTCTTTGCAGCTGCGTCGTTGTTCTCCCCCCCACCCGTTTTCCGTCAAGCCACGCCTCCTGCGCTGTCATTGGCTAGGATCTCAAACTGTGAGTATTCATTTTGAGCTATTTTGGCTATATACCCTGAAATCAGCTGCCACTAGAGGTTCATTGATGGGGGGCTAAGGCTGGGGGCATGGTCCCCCAGGATTTTTTTTGGCCCAGCAGATTGGCTGTTCATCATGAACTTTTAGAGTAGCAACAGCCAAACATGATCAAAGATGTCTGTTTGGTCAAACTGGCACACAGCAGATCTGTCTATTTATAATTTGAATTAAGCACAGAACTAATATGATTTGAACACTCATTCACTAATATGATTTGAACGCTCTTTCACTTGCTCCTTCAGTCCTGTCAGTCTCCTTCAGCTTCTTTCCTTCCCTTTGCTCCTGTGTTTAGTAATACTTTATTTTGTTAAGCTCAGATTTACAAGAACTCAAGGAAATTATAAGAGATCAATCAAATCTTTTTTTTTTAATTGGTAAAAATGTTCTCATCTGACTGGCTTTTGACAAAGTTGGCACCTCTTAATTTCCACCTACCAGTTGAGGAATTGAGGGATATTAAATTGCATTGTGATCAACATTATATGACCTTTTCACTGGCATCAACTTACTGTAAACAACAATATATGGCAAATACTGTCATCTTTGTTTCCAAATACTGAAGTGAAACATAAAAACAAAGACGATAAAGGGCTGTCGATAACATTGTTTCTATCTCTGTCGCTTGTTCATGCTCTCACTATAGAGAGAAGTTTCTTTTTTAAATCCTTAAACTAGTTGGCTTGTCAGCTAGCTGATGTTAGTGTTAGCATAACTGCTTTTCTTTGCCTCATGTAAACCTGAAGGTAGCTACCGAACAAGCCACCAAGTAAAGCCCAACAGGCAGCTATACTGACCATAACTTGCCATAAATTCGTACTGCAGGTGGGTATCTTCACTTTGTAGCTACTTACTCAAATTCAAAACATAATGTATAAAAACAAAACATATTAAATGTGCCATAACCTTCATACATGGAACATTTTATGTTTATTTTTCCCCCGGTATGTTGAATTCAGCAAATGAACAGTTATTGTGTAGTAAAGTGTGCAGTAGTGTGCTCTGTGTAGAGATGTTTTAAATCATTTTCGCCTAGAAAATCATCAAAGCATGTCATTTGATCAGGGGTTCCCAAACTTTTGCATACCACTATATGCTGAAATATATGTCCTAAATATAAGTTATAATGTCTCTTGATAAGCATCCTGTTTAAACACTGAAAATGCACAGAAGGTCGCTCAGTAGTGAGAATAAAGTAGCAGCCAATCCGGTTGCAGGGGGCGGGGCTTGCCTGAAAATGAGTGGAGAAAAAAGCGCCTCAGGAGAGTTACCGTCAGCTCCACTGCGAGCGCGTGTGTGTCGGTGTATGTGTGGGATGGTAGCTCGTGAATTTGTTTTGCTTTTGTGTTTTTAGTTACACAGCGACCCACGTGAGAAGAGGGAATTGTAATTTTAAGTCAGACCTGAATGACCTAAACCCACGATGAGTCACTGTAATGATGCCTTTAGTGTCTGACTGATGACTGAAACAGGTGTTTTACCATGTAGGCTGACAGTGGACGGTAATGTGGCCCTGAACACACTAAGAAACATCGGTGAAGGTGTCACTTTATTCGACTGAGTCTGGGTGAACCAGCCTGTAGGACAGTTATTGTTCATACAGTAAGAAATGTCTATGTTGATGAACGATGGCTGACATAGTCTTGACGTGGGTTCAGGAGCCTGAAACCAAATCTAGTTAAAACTTAAATAACTTAAAAAATGACTTATGTTCACACCTAAAAAGATGGTTCTTTAAGGGTTCTTTAATAAAAGCAACAGTTCTATTTAGAGCCATTTTTATATTCTATGTAGGACCATGCTTATATGGTTCTTTGCATGGTGAAATGGTTCTTCAGATTGATGGAGGATGTGTTGTATATGGTTCTATACACAACTTTTTTTGAAAATGGTTCTATGTAGCACCAAAACGGATTCTTCTATTGTTATGAAGTAAAGCTTTTAACAATAGGAGAACCTTTTTTTGGTGCTATATAGATCCATTTTTAAAGAACCATATGCAACACCATCAATCTGAAAAACATTTTCACCATAAAAATAACCATTTAAGCATGAAATGGTTGTTAATAGAGCCTTTGCCTTTACTAAATAACCCTTAAAGAACCGTCTTTTTAAGTGTGTAGAAATAAAAACAGCTCTAATAAAATACGTTTTTGAATTATTACTTCTAGCATGGATCGGAACAGAAACTGAAGATTGTGTGGTGCTATTATGCTCTTTTTGGGATAATTTAAGTCTAAAATAAAATGCTAGAGCATGAAAGTGAGAGATGTGAGTGGCAGAACAGCAGTCCAGGAGCTGGTCTATCAGAACACAATTAAACACAAAACAAAGAATTTAGGAATTAAACATAAACAAATAAAATTGGCCTGCTTGAATATAATAAAAGTAGTTTAATTGCAATTTACTAACAAAGTACATTGAACTAAGTGAACATGATACTACCCACCTATGCCTGTGCCACAATTTTGAAATGTATATTTCATTATGTTTTTACCCCTGAATTGGGTGGTTCTCCACTTTCTTTTGCCTTTTCAAAACATTTTCATTGCTGACAAGCCAAGGCCCCATGAATTACAGCTCTTCATTCTTTGATCAACATTGTTTTCATGTTTCTAATGAGAAATGGCTCCTTTCCTCTGGCCTTCCTGTTTGGGCGATAGGTCGTCTCTCTCCCAGAGCTGTTCGCTGAAATAGACAGCATGTCTGAGCACTTTTGTGTTTAAGAGCACACACACACACACACACACACACACACACACACACACACACACACACATACACACAACATTTATCTATTATCTATGTCAGTATCTATAGGTAGTAATAAAATGTCGCCTATGGACCATTCCACCGAATTATTTACTCCACAGTAAAAAAAAAACAATGAAGTATTCAGACTTTAGATATTTACAACGATAATGCCATGATCTTTTAAACCCCAAAGCATTAACTGAGATGGTAATAAACTAAATATATTATGGCATCTGCTATAGGCCACACTGCTATGAGGAGCTTAGGTGGTGTGGCCATGCAGAGTGGCTCTTGGGGAACTCTACACTCCACAAGAAGGATGCTCTTTGTTGTTGTTGTTGACATTGCTGTTATTAGTGTAGTTGTGTTGCTTAGAGTAAAATGTGTCCAAAGGGGGGCGAGCTTTGTAGTGTAACTAGTGGTTAGAAGCGTCTACCCTCCTCATATGTTGTGTCCTTCTGCGTTACACTCCTCCTGTGTTTTGTGTTTGGATGTGCGCTGGACTGATAGATTTCTTATTGCCTGTTGAAGTGCCTGTCCAAAATAAAAGAGCATTTGCATATATATATATATATATATATATATATATATATATATATATATATATATATATATATATGTGCTTTGTTTTCAATGTCTTCTTTTACACCACAGTGGTGTCAGAAGTGGGATAGCGCCACCAAGCAGCCAAGAAGTTGGCTGGGGAATAGGCCGAAGGAGACAGTGTGGCGGGGCCCAGCATTGGAGCCCAGTGAGAGGGTGGCAGTGCTTTGTACAGCTGCAAGTCGTTGCCCAGCATTACGCCCAGCAGCTTGTCTAACACTGGGGGGAAAAGTACTTCAGGTGCTGGTGGATCTGCCACAGGTCGTGGTGGGGGGCCTGAGCCAAGTGCACGAGTTCTGGCTCACATCTATACAGGATGAGTGCATTCTTGGTATGGACTTCCTCGTGGTGGCAGAGGCCATGATCAACCTTAGGAAGGAAACGCTGGGCTTGGAGACAGGACAAGTGAAGCTGGTTATGGAGGCTTGCGGCAGAGCCGAGGCAGAGAGGGTCCCTGGCAGTGTAGCCTTCATTCCCTGTTAGGGAAGCTGTGGGCTCAAGAGAAGCTGAACATGCCACATCGAAGCCTGTTGCCAGATCACCGGTGGGAGGACACACCGCCAGGTTGAGGGCACTATGGCTTTTTGTAGGTGAAGCTGCCAATGCTGGAGGAGCTGAACACGCAGTACCAGCGCCGGTGGATGGATCCCAAGGGTCATGGGCAGCGCACACAAGCAGCACCCTGGCCAGCATCAACGATGCACTAAGCTGCTAAGAGGAGGGCTGCTGCTAACCCTAACCACAGTAGCACCGGACTTGACTCTGTGAGGAGTTCCACCGAGCCCAGGAGGAGGATGCGATGCTCAGTCTCCGGTGCACTGATGGAGAGGACACTCACGACCTGATTGATTGGTTGGTTGATTGAATTAATTTGATGATTAAAAATACACGTAACAGTGCACAGCAGCCATTACACACGTTACATCACTAAGGATTAAATCACAATAAAGCCCTAAAGCTTTTTCCCATTATGGTCCTCTTCACATAAAACACTTTGTGCTTTGTTTTTTGTGTCTTTTACGTATATAAAATCATAATTTACAGAGTACTTTCTAGTGGGAGGTCAGTCCTAAACCCTAACGCCTAAATTTAACTTGTCGATATTGTATTTTCAGTGTTTTTTGAATATCATTTTGATTTCTTTTAAAGTGAAGTTGAAAGATTTAGATTTAGACTATATCTCCATCCCTCATAACCACATGGTGAGCAGTTAGGTCCCATCCTTTGGAAGTAAACCTTTTATGTTTTAATAAAAACTATTATGATTTTATGTCTGAACTGGTGAAAGCTGTTTCAGTAATGACATGATCGTGTTGGTGGTAATAGAAGTACCTGCATGTAATAATATGTCACATATATGTTATAGATGTGTCTATATGTATTAATATGTCCCAATGTGTTGTATGTATTACAATTAATATGTTAGTATGTGTATATAATATATGTATCTACATGTAATAAGAGAGCTTAACTTTAAATCTAACCCTAACTTTCCCTTCAGTAACCTGAAAGAAATAGC